TTTGCTCCACCACGCATAAGGATCTTATTTCCTTATGTGACACGGACAAGAAGCTTGAGGAACACAAGAGCAAAATAGACAAGATCTTGAAGACTCATCTAGAAAAACTAAATCAGGGCAATTACAAGGACGTGCTTGACAACTTGTATGTTCCAATCCACAAGACCATGACCTGCATGGAGGCAAATCAATTGTCCCTAGCATTGGCTCACCAGGAATTGAGTGATGTTTCAGATGAAGCACTTATATGGGCGGGTGATTGTCCCAATTGGGCCAAATTTATTGTTGATCTTGCTGCGTACCTCGSCAAACTMSAKGCGTTCATGCCTTACGAACRAGATATCTCAAGAAAATATATGATTCGAATATCTGAATGTATTTCACCGCTTGACACAGAAAATTTCTCAACCTCTGTTGTYGAGTCTCTCCTGGATGCAATTCACAAGTCTGTCTCTGACACAAACAGCMGCTGCAGTCGAACTGTCATGCTTGTGAATAAGCTGBTCCAGTTGTGTACTAAACTGAAGTTGTATCTTCAATTTGACCCAACCCAATCCGAACCCAAAAATCATTTATTGGATCTTCTCCAGGATTGTGTCAAACTTACGKYYCACRATGACCACRTCMCCCCTCATTTCAACTCCACGGGCAGAGAAGAMTACCTGGATTCAGCGTGGAATCAGGCAAAACAATTTCTTGAAGAGAGTTGCAGGCCCTACATAAAGGAGAGTACCAATGTTTTCGGCCATCTTCTCCAGTCCATGCATGACATCCAAAGCAWAACCTCTACTTCTGTTTCCTCGGCATATACTGCCATTGACTTGATTTGCTGTCATCAGAATAGATCACGTCGAAGCTCCCATGATCTGGATGACGGAAAATCATCGAAGAAGCAGAAGACTTCAGTTGATACTACCGGACCAACAAAAAATTTTGCTSCTCAATGGGAATTTCATTGTAGTAGTGAATCATCTGGATTCAGAAAAAGACTGAAAAAATCAATGAATGTGGATGTGGAGTACACCGATGCAAAATTCTTATTTTGTCCTGAAYGTCCTCCTGACCAAGTGTTCTTCAAGGATTCCCTGGAAAACAAGGCTCTTGCCGAAAAAATTAGTCTCAAACTGTACAACGCAGAAACTGCCATCAACTTTTATCTTAAAAAATGTGGGATATTCGAAGGCAAAGAATCTGTGGTGGTGACGGCTGTGGGAGTGACTGTCCTAAAAGAGATGTAAAGTGTGTGCTAGTAGAAAAGTGAGTTGATGCTCTTATCGAGGATTGACGAACTATGAAATCTAGAATGGATCGCTGTGGGGATCGAGTGAGATGTGAATCGAATGAGTCGAGTCACTCACGCAAGTGAATGGAATGAGTCATGTCGATCATATGAATCCTAGGGGATCGCGTGAATCATATATGTATGGTGTGTATGAATCATAGATACGTATCGTATGTATGTGTCGTATGTATGAATCATACCCACGGTCTGATATCCTACGGACAACA